AAAAATAAAGCATTAATAAATTATTTTCTAGTTCATTTTCTATAATATAACCAAATACTGAAAAATATTTTCTAGTTTATTTTTCATAATACTACCAAACATCAAAAAATAATTTACTTTTCAAAAGAAAACAACTTTTCTACAAATAAACAGAGCCCTAATCTTAAATGATGAAGTCAGTTAAGATTCAAAAAATTTAGACAATGTTAATATTATGGTATAAATGTGTACATGGGAATTGATAACTTGAAAAAAGATTTATATTAAAGATAAATATTAAAATTTTAATAGGACTATAAATGATATAAAAATTTAAAACATGATATTAATATGTTTAAAAAAATTACTATATTTTTCTGAGTTTAAGACCAAGGAAGTTCATAATGATGAGAAAGGATTGGTTGTTATATATATAGCATAACTATTAAATCTTTAAAAAAAAATTAGACCTAACCAGCCTTCATTTTCAATTATAATTAGAGGTTTGGCTTTTATTTTTTTTTATATGATAATTTATTGTGAGGTTATTTTATATTAAATAGATATTTTTTTATATAAAATTTTGATTAAAAAACAAGAAATATTATGAGTTTTGGGATAGAAAATAAAGTACAATATTTCTATTAAGGTATTTTATAAATATAGAAACAAAAGGTAAACAGATAATGCTACTCTATTTTTATAACCAAAATAGAAATCTTATGCATATAAAATATTTTTGCACAATCCATTTGTCTAATTATTTTCTTATTCCATAATTTTGTTCTTAGACATTTTACATAAGTTTCACTAAAAAAAATTACTTTGATTGCTCTAAATGTACTTAATTATTACTTAGTATATGTAAGAGAAAACAAAAAACACAAATGTTATAATTAGAATTTTACTCTAAGTTTACTTAATTGTTAATTAATTTTTCTCAACTCATATTTAGTTTATCTAATTTTTTTTAAATGATAAAAATAACATTTTTTAGATTTATTTTAAAAAATAAATAAATTAAAAACTAAATTTTATACCAATTAATCAAGTCACAGATCAATTTATATTTTTAACTTAGTTAAATTTAATTAATTTTTTTAATTTAAATTAAATTTTTAATCAACTAAATATTGGATAAAATTAGTAAATCAATTCAAGTTTTATACATCAATTTGTTTTTTAAACAAAAAAAAAAAACAATCAAAGTGGACTTTTTGAGAGATTAAAGAAGGGAAGAAAGTTGGCAAGGGAAGCCCATTAAAACAGCAAGGCCATGAAGATTTGAAAAACGGATGGAAGTGGAAATCCCGCGAATAGAATACCCAACCCATCGTCGAAGAATACCAAACCTTGCCGCCTACACCACTCTCAAATCTCTTAAACAATCCCTTTCCTCCTCTCCCTTCCTCTCCCTTAACTTCTCAAGAAAAGCATCCGTCGTTGATTATTTCTTCTTATGACCACCACCATGCCACCCCCTTCATCATCCACTCCCTTTTCAATTCAGCTTCAACATCTTCTTGGCTTCTCTATCTGTTTCTTGTCTCAATCACTTTACTCTCTTTCTTTTCTCTCTGAATCTCAACATGGCATCTCAAGAACCCAAAATGACCTCGCAAGAACCCAAAACAACCTCTCAAGAACCCAAAATGATCTCTCAGGAGTCCGAATTGGCCTCCCAAGAACCCAAAATGATCTCTCAAGTATCCGAATTGGACTCCCAGGAACCCACAGTAACCTCTCAAGAACCAAAAATGATCTCTCAAGAGTCCGAATTGGCCTCCCAAGAACCCACAGTAACCTCTCAAGAACCAAAAATGATCTCCCAGGGGTCCAAATCGGCCTCTCAAGAACCCAATACGCCTTCCCAAGAACCTGTAACCACCACCTCATCCAATCCACCATCCAAATACTCTAACCGGGTGGTGTTGAAAAGCATTTTAGAGCCAAGTGACAGATGGAAGGAATTTGTGGGTGAGAGAGTTGTGGTTGGTGGCTGGGTGAAGTCTTCCAAGGAGGTGAATAAAGAGCCAGCTGTGCCCGAGCAGACTACTGAAGGGCCGAATGTGTCTCCACGGCACAGAGATGTGAGATGTGTGGAGATTTTTCAGTCTAGAATACCTATATTTAGATCAATAGCAAAGATTTTTGGAGGGGGTGGTAGCAGTCATCCTGTTCGTGAGAAGCCGGAACCAGCAATTCCTGAGCCGCCTCGACCTTCTGTTGCTTACTTGCTTGTTAGTGATGGATCTTCTGTTGCAAGTCTTCAGGTATATATGCTAATTTCACTTTTTCCTCTAGATTCAGAATCCGAAGCATTAGAGGGTTTCATTTCCCTTCACTATAAATGCCTTAAGCTACTGTCTCATTGCCCTATGAATCATGATATGATCAGGGGTACTTTTCTATGTCACCTTTTGACTGTTGTTCAAAAATTTTCAGGTTGTGGTGGACTCCTCTATAGCTCCCCCCAGCCAGGTGCTGCCTATCGGAACTTGTATATTAGTTGAAGGTGTACTAAAGGAGCCATCAATCCAGGCAAAACATAGCATTGAGCTTGAAGTCGAGCAAATACTTCATATAGGGAAAGTGGAACAAGACAGGTATCCTTTATCAAAGAAACGATTGCCATTGGAGGCGTTGAGAGACTGTTCTCATTTCCGGCCTCGAACAACAACGGTAAGCTTTTCATCCATCACTACTTTTCTATTTTGCACGTGTTGAAGCCATGTCATGTTTGGTTATAACATTTTACTTACATATGTAGTAGCATGTATTCATTTGGAAATTAATCTTACTTCCTGGAATGTTTGTAACTACTTGAAGTAGAACCTGTAAATGATATGTGAATTGACCATCACAAAAGTGCTTGCAAGAGGCGGTGAAACATATGGTGATGCTTATATTTGCTTAGAATGATGGCAATTGGATCATATACATTCAAGGCCCCAACCAAGAATGTGACATAGCCTAAAGTTGAGCCGTTTCAAATGATTAGTTGAAATGTTTTCATATTGTGCAGGTGGCATCAGTTACGAGAATCAGCAGTGCCCTAACTTTTGCGACTCAGAAATTCTTCCACGACAAGGGGTTTCTCTATGTGCAGGTGCCCATTATCACAACAACAGATGGCGAAGGATTTAGCGAAAAGTTTCAGGTCACAACTGTTTTGGGAAAAGATGGCAAACAGAATGATACAGGAGGTGTTAGCCTTGAAGTTGTCAAGGCTGCTGTAATACAGAAAAGTAATCTAGTTGAAGAACTAAAGAGAAGTGAAAGCAATAGAGAGGCACTGGCTTCTGCAATTCAAGATTTGCGTAAAACAAACCAATTAGCATCACAATTAGAAGCAAAAGAAAAACTGAAATCAGGGCCTTCAATGAAGGCTGATAAATATTCCTTTTATGGAGATTTCTTCTCTCAACAAACTTTCCTTACTGTTTCTGGTCTTCTCCATCTGGAGAGCTATGCTTGTGCATTGGGAAATGTTTTCTCATTCGGACCTAGATTTCGAGCGGATAGAAAGGAATCTGCAAAGCGTGTATCAGAAATGTGGATGGTTGAGGTTCAAATGGCTTTTTCACAATTAGAGGTATGGCAGTCATCTTTCCTCCTGTTGTCAGGTTCATGACACACTAGTTCTTAGAAAATCATTTGAAAGCATCATTTCTATAGTCTATTATGATTGAACAGAAGCAGAACTGATTTTATAAACTTCTGCTGGCTTCCAGGATGCAATGAACTGTGCAGATGAATATTTCAAGTTCCTCTGCGAATGGATTTTGAAAAATTGTTCAGAAGACATGAATTTTGTTTCTAAACGTATCGACAGATCTATCAGCTATCGTCTTCAATCAATGATATCATCTTCAATTGAAAAGATTTCCTACATGGAAGCTTTGAAGAAGGTAAATTGCATTTCCCATCTATTTTTTGCAAACATATTAACCTCAAAACAATTTTATCTCATAAATATCCCTTCTGACAAATGGCGAGCAGGTTGCAGTTAAATTCGAAATAAACCAAGAATGGGGCATTGCTCTAACTCCAGAGCATCTAAGGTATGCCTAATGTGATGTTTCATATGCATATATCCATGACCAAATATCAGGAAAGATGGGAAGTGAGGCATTCTTTCCTAATGCTGGTACTTATTATATATGTTAATGGATGACAGTTATTTGGCTGAAGAAGTCTATAGGAAGCCTGTAATCATATACAATTATCCAAAAGAGCTTAAGCCCTTTTATGTACGACTGAATGATGATGGGAAAACAGCTGCTGCATTTGATATGGTTGTACCCAAGGTAAGCTCAAAATTTCTTCAAAGAGAAGCATTCTTTATAATTGAAGCTTTCCTAATCCTACTTTGGACTGCTTATAAACTGGATGATGTATATTTTGCAGGCTGGAACAATCATCACAGGTAGCCAAAATGAGGAACGGATTGATATGCTAAACAAAACGTAAGAAACTTGGCACTACTTTCATCTGATACTTGATTTAACTTTAAGGCTAGCTCATCTCGAAGTACATTCAGTTTGACAAATGATCAAAACACAGTTGCATGTTACAGACCAAAACAAGGGCAATGTTTCTATTCTATGTTCAATTTTTATATGCAGGATTGAAGAATTACGCTTGCCACGAGAGCAGTACGAATGGTACTTGGATCTTCGCAGGCATGGAACAGTCGAGCATTCTGGATTCAGTTTAGGGTTTGATCTTATGGTTCTGTTCACTACTGGCCTCCCTGATGTTAGAGATGTGATCCCTTTTCCAAGGAGCCGCGGCAAAGCAAACAACTAACCAGAATTCAAGAAATGGGTTTCAAGAATCAAGAATTAAATATCATACATTCTGTCTCATGAACAAGAAAATAAAATAAGGAAATATGTAATGGCATAAGCATAAGAACAGCATACAAGAGAGGCAAGATGTACTAGTGACCTTATTATTCTTATGTGAGTAAAGGAAGTTAATTGTTGAAACAGGACAATTCCTATGTTGAGTGATTCTGATTTTCCCGACACAAACTAGGGATTAGCTACAACCACTGAAGTATTAACCATGGAATTTCTGGAATCAATGGGGAAGAAAAATGGATAGAGCTCATATCGAACGTAACAGCTGCTATAGAAAATTCGACATCCCTTTCTGTCATCACAAAAGTCAGGGAAATTTCCAAAAGCAATAGCCAGACACTGCACAGTCTATCCGAGATAGGTCCCTAATGCACTGAACCTGAGCATAAAGTTTCGCAAATCTAGATAGTTTCTTTTCACCTTTACCCAGCCCTCTATTCCCAGGAAAAACAGCTTCAGCTCTTATCTGATCCGTCAGAGCTGCTAGCTCATCATGAAAGTCTTCAAATTCTGTTGCTTCTTCAACATTAAAGTAGACTATGCTAAAATCTGTATCAACTTTTCCAATGAAATTGATGTTGTCATAAAATAAAATGCAGTAATCGAACCAAATCCAGGCATCGGCCTGGTCTGGACAAACTTCACGGATTTGCTTTGCTGCATCTTGGATACAGCTGAAGCAGTCTTTGCTGCTCACATCTCCTCTGCATTGTGCTAAACCATAGACTTTGTCTTGTCCTTTGCCATATGTGACAGGAGCAAAACCAGTCAAGGCAGTCCTGAAAACCAACGCAGGCAATAACCTGTCAGTATTTGCCATTTATTTCGCTGTCTGCATTGCAGAACTCTCCCGCACGATCTGCACTGCAAGTGCATAGCAATAATAGGAGGGGAAAGATGGATAATAAATTCATGGTTTACTAGCAATTTGCTTGAATCACCATTACTGGGGGCCCCTTATATTATCATGAATTGTGGGTGGTGGTAGTTTATGAAGGGATCCCACTGCAAGCACTTATGAACAACTGGTTTGTTTTGTTAGTAGTTGAAAGTGGAGGTAACATGATATTTTTTCTGCTAAGCCTATTCATGTTAAATTCTCAGGTGGCTTCATTGCAATTATCCTATCAATGCTTAATTTGCATTCCAGATCTAGTGATAGTGCTGTTACAAGCTGAGTGCACTTAACAGGTGATGTTTCTTGCCACAAGTTAAGCAATGAAACAGTGTTTTAGCATTTGCTGACAATCAGATTAGGTGAATCCAGTGAAATAAGACCTCAATAATGCCTTCAACCATCTTGTGATTGTGATTCTAAGTCATATTCCACCAATCAAATACCTAAAGTGTGCCTTGTTCTAGCTGATGATGTTAAAGAATAATATAAAACTCGGTTAAGATTTGTAGATTGAGATGATATTTTTTTAAAACACGAATGAGAAATCATTGTAACCTTAATATATATACAGCTAGGAGAATTACATAGACAATCATGTATCAAGGTAAAATACTAATGATGTGGATCAGCCTAACACCAAGTGTAATCATGCTAACAACCCATTAGAGGTGCCAATTGGGCCAATCACAAGAGCTAGAGCTAAGAAGTTTAAAGAAGCATTAAATGGGCTTGTTCAGAACATATGGAGCAAAATGGACCTAGAAGGGCTTGGGACATTTAAGGAGCATGAAGGACAGCCTTTAATTCATTTAGTTCGGGTCCAAGAAGAGCCCAATTCATGTGGAACAAGGGGTTGATGTGTCCGGCCCAATACCAGCCTTGTTAGGCTTGTCTTTTTCTAATATTACAAGGATAAAGAGTCAACAATTTATTCTCCTAACTAAGTAAGGAAGTTGGCCAAATCTTATTCCTAAAGAGCGGAAGACTATTTAATGCTTTTCCTCACTTAGGAAGGAAAGTAATTAAATCAACAACAAAGGAGAAAATTTGTTTCCTTATTTGTCCAAGTTAAATAGGAAACTCCAAGCTAATCAAGGACATTAAAGGGGGCAGCAACACAAATTTTCCAAATCAGATTTTTCCAATTTTGTTTAGGACTTCTTAAGGGTGACAAATCTGATTCTAGCTTATTTAGAATGGTATTTTTGGATTTTTAGTATTTTTAGAAATTTCTTCTTAGTTTTTGGGTTATTATTACTTATTTGGGTCAATTGTAAGTGGGCTTCATATAAGTCCACCTAAGGGAGGTCCATTAGGGTTTCTTTAAGTTCAAATTTAGTATAAATAAAGGCATAACCCAAACATGTAAAGGTTACGTAATTTTCAGATTAATAAAACTTGTTTGCCGCACTTTGTGTGTGTGTGTTGGTGAGATAATCTCCCTTCCATAGTTCTCTAATGAACTGAAAATTGACTTATCAAAGAAAAACTGTCTTTGTGGCGTCATCCTTATACTTCTTGTTCGCGAATCAATATTCGTTGGGTGGGGGTTTCCGTTTTCAATAGTGCTGGTGCCTAGGTACAAGTTATCTTTATGTCACACTCCTATCAAACCTGATTTACTTGGCTTTTCGGGAATTGACGTCTTTGCGTGTGGGTTACGTGACCATGTGATCACGAGGTTCGCATCATTTGGTATCAGAGCTTGGCTCCATTAATCAGGTTATATCCTCCTGAAATTTTCGTTTCTTGTTAATTCCGTAAAAATTCCTTAGTATCCAATTTCTTCTTCTCCTTGAATTTGTGGCATATAAAAAGAAAAAAATTATTATTTCATTCTGTTATTGTTCAAAATATATAAGTAGCATAAAAAAAGGAGAGAAAATAGAAAAGAAAAGAAAACAATTGTTCAGAAAGACGTTTATTAGATTCTGCCGCAAAAAACTAAACAACAGACAATTGGATCAAATCAACTTGAAATTAGTTCAAAGTTGATATTCTAATTCGTGGGGTCCTAATAGCATTACATATCAAATTTGAGGTCAATTGGATATCATTTTCTTTGGGTTTCAAATTCGGGTCTATTCAGATCTAATTCATAATGTTTTTACGTCAGTATATCAAACTTTGTCATAAGTTTCTCAAACCTTATATTTTGTCTATTTGGGTTGATATCGCACTATATCTGAAATTTTAACTCAATTGGACATCATTTACTTAAGGTTCCAGATTCAGACTTAACTTGTCGTAAACAAGTCTGTCTTGCATCAACGTTTGAAATTCGCTTGTTTTCTGTTGATTTCATTTCTTGCAGTTTATTTCCATCATATCCATCATATTTGGGTGTTGTTTATTTTTTTTTCTATTTTTTATTCGAGTCTTTAGTTTCGTTGATATTTCGGATAAACTCGTTTGCTACTCGCGAGACTATCATTGCAGTTTTGTTTTGCTTGTTTTCTAGTTTTTTATTGCTTCTCGAGTCATATATATATTTGGATTGCACTACCAAGTTGGTTCTATTTGGTGTTGGTTTCAGTTTCGCAAGAACCGCAAGAAGGTGAGACGAGAGGTGTGAGGATAAATTTTCTTTTACCACTAACAACTTTTTGCAGGTACTATCATGTCAGATCAAAAAAATACACCGCCCCATCCTAAGGGAGAACTTACATTTCAAATGCAAGCCATGACACAAATGATGGAGAGGATGAATTTTGTGATGGGAAATGTGTGTGAAAGACTTGATAGGGTGGAGAAACGTGGTAACGAGGCTAGTACGAGCACCCAAAATATGAAGCTTAGGGTGGAACCGAAAGCAAACAATAGCTGTAGGGCCATGCTTGACCGCTTTTTATGATCGGCTTGTTTTAACTCGCAAGTGCACGAGTGTGCGATGTAGCAATTAACTCGGTAAGATCGAGGTCATATCCACAGAGAGCTAGATCTGGAAATTAAGCTAAGTAAAAAAAAAAAACTCAAGAGAAATTAAATTAACAATAACTTGGTTGAAAATAATTGATGGATTTGTTTTCAAAGATAAAAAAAATGTAAATAGATTTTAAATGACAAGAAAAGTAAGTCTTGGTCCAAATCAATTTTAATGGTGATGTATTGGTGATTTCTTCAACATATATAAGATAACTCAACCTAATATCAACGATGGTGATATTAGATCAGAAGATATTACAATGAAGATTAGAAAGATGAAGATTGATTATTGCTTAAGAATGAACTAGTACTTTCATATTAAGTAAGACATTGAATCAAGCAATCTCTATACCAAAACTAAAGTTTGTGCATAAAAATTCAAGATTATAACATTACCTAAATGATTTCTAAAATTTCTTTGCAATAATAAATCATTCATGAAGAAAATAAGAAGATAAACATTAAGATTCATTCATATCCTAAAGAACTCACCTCAATCACCATTATCCTTGATTTGGATCCAAGAAAGAGTTTAGCCAACCATGATTATATATAAGAACACTTCAATAAACATGAAAGAACTTGAATCCAACTGAAAAAATAAGTTTTACAAACTAAAGAACCGAAATCTATAAAGAAGAACACAATACAATTTCAGAAAAAATTCGGACACAAATCTGACTCTAACTTTGGACAGCAATTCGACCCTCTTAGAAGCTTTTTTTGGAGAAGTCTATTAGAGACATATTTATAGGCAATTCTGTCACCTTTCCAGATCATTAAAGAACAGCTCATTTGGACACCTGAGTCAAAAGTTATGGGCAAAACACCGAAAGGTGTTCTGAAAAATCAAATCAAGACAGCTTTACAACTACTTTGGTGCACGTTTTTCTTCCTCATTTATGAGGTGTCTCCTTCTTCTTTTTGACCCAAAATAATGTTAAAATATCCCCTCCAGCTTTCCATCCATGTGCTTGCCTTCTTGGATCAATGGATTGCCCAAAATAAATCAATTGTTATTTGTTGTGTGGACATGTAAGATCATGGATTGTGTTTGGGTTGATTTGAAGGTTGATTTGGGGTTGATTTAGGGCTAATTTGGGGCTGATTTTGGGCTGAATTTGAGCATCAAATAAGTATACAAATGTACTTATTATTTGGGCTAAGATTGACATTGAAACCTTGAGTGTTTAATGGTTGAAGTTTGCACACAACATAAGGCAAGTTTGGGCTTGAAATAAATCATATGATATTCTTTTCTAGAATTGGAATAGAATTGATTTTTGGGACAAATTTGGAGCACTTATTTGAACCAAGATTTGCTTCAATCTTCAACTAAATGTCTCTTCAATTCTTTGTTCTGAATTCCGACGTTGAATTTTGTGAATTAATTCATTTAAGCTCCAAAAACCTATCGAAACATTAAAACAAACTTCATTACTAAAAAACACATCAATTATTATAAAAACAACCAAATAAAAACAATAAATACATATGTAAAATAAGAGACTTAATGACACTTTTGATGCACAATCAGGCCAACAGGCCAAGGTAGGCTGATTGTGAGGATTTTAAGGAGCCCGTTGGTGATATCGGTGATGGTGTTTTTGATGATGAGGCCATAGACTACCGGGAAGGTTTTCGGCAACCTAGAAACCGAAGGGATTATAGGAATAGAACTAGGGGCCAATTTGGCCAAAGGGAAAATTTTTGTAGTGTTGGGGGACATGCTGATTTAGATGGTGATTTGGATGCTATCAAACTGAAAATACCTTCTTTTCAAGGTAAAAACGATCCCGAGGCATATTTGGAGTGGGAAAAAAAGGTTGATTAGATTTTTGATTGCCATAACTATTCAGAGGCGAAGAAAGTGAAATTGGTAGTCATTGAATTCATGGATTATGCACTGATTTGGTGGGATCAGAATGTTACTAGTAGAAGATGGAGTGGAGAGAGGCCGGTAGCGTCTTGGGAGGAGAT